GACCACTGCTGAAGGTTTGTAATTAAGAACAAAGGACTGAACTACTGCCCTGAATTCCTTTATGTGGTTGAAATCTAGATTATGAAAGTAGCAGGTGCTAAGTATCAGTGCTAAATGCTGTGTATATCACTACATAAAATAAGACCATCAAAAAGATTAGCATTGGACATCTTAATAAATTAAGTTGATATGAGGTTAATGTGTTGATAAAACTAATTTTAGACATCTGAAGACCTTTAAAACATTTCATACAATTATTGTTTTGCAAAGACTGAAAACTGGGGACTCAAGTACTGTAACTGATTAAAGATGTGCCATGCATTATTGGATTATCACACTTACAAATCTGTTTGCCTTGTGAGTAAGTTTTGGGGAGCATTCCAAAGCAGTATTTTTGTTCAGATTTAGACTTTACTTTTTTTCCAAATATATTACTCTTTCTAAATACCATTTTCCTTAACAGTGAAATTACTAACATTTAACTGTATTCTGTGGTTTTTGCTGATTTGGTATAAAGTTTAATAGACTCTTATTTATATTTTTTAAAAAGCTAGATATCGGTCTGTTAGGCAACGATAATGATAATATCCAGTCATAATTGAACAGTTATAATTATACAGAATAAACACATGTTGCCTTAAAGGGTTATCTAGTATCTTCCATTTTGTTTAGCATTGAAGCAAATAAGCAAGGAAAATTGAATCAGTAACTCTGGTCAGTCATCTGGGAGTGCATGAAAGATCACTTAGTCCTCTTTTTTTTTTTCCTTTTTACTCCAGTGGTTCCCAAAATCAGTATGCACATCACTGGGATGATATGATTTTTTTCTAGGTGTGCCGCCCTTTCTAGTTTGTTCTGAGAAACACAGGCAGTTGATGTATGTTTATATTTTAAGACAGCTGTCATGGGGAGACCGCAGCCTTAGTATGATATCTTGCACAATTTGTGAAGCATTTATTCTACTGAAGGCACAGTCTTGTTTATATTTTCTGCACATTTTGGTGTATTGGTTGTTTTAAATTATTTAAGTTTTAACTTGTGAAAGCATATAATATGATTTCTTAGTATTTTAGAAATACATTAGAGTCTGTGAGTCTTTCCTTCTTTAAGATACAGATGTGTGGATTTCAATATAAAGTTGCATTTGCCAAAATTTACCTGTGTAGCTTGTTAATTTTCTTGGAATAAAATTTTACATTTTTCCAGTTATACAATTAACCTTTTTTATTTTGTCTAGTGAGCTAGCATGAAGTACTGAGAATGTAGCCATTATGAATTATTATCCTTTGCAGTCACTGTATTCCCAAACTGTAAATGCATGAATGATGGGGACCACAGGATTGATAAATGATATAATCTACCGTAGCACTATTGTGTAGTTTATCATAATTACCCATCTATCTGTTTTAATATGTCAGTTATATTTAAAGTTACAACACAGTATTTGACATAAACTTCACAGTTTAATTTTGGAAAATGTGTATATTTGAAGCACAACATCATGAGTCGGTTGATCATAAAGAGCATCAATTTTTCTTAATTTTTGGAGAGACAAGACTAGAGGTCTTAATTCCGTATTGGTGTATCCTGTCCTTTGTTGTTGTTTTATGACCAGCAAGTTAATATATACCTACACAAGCAGCAGTCAATAATGAAAATGCTTAAATTTGTATGATAACATTATACAACATATGCAACAATTCAGAGAGTTGTGTCTATATGTGATCAGACAACTTGATCAAAGATTTAGTGAGCAATCTATTTGACCTCACTTACACTTTTATACTGAGGTTGATTGGTTGAGAGGCATGGCTTGATATACTGTGTTGAAACAGAAAAGAAGTGCTAAAATAATGAGTCCTCCTCAGTACAAGAATATTTCAGAACATAATTTGAAACGGGACCAATAAACTTCTACCAAAAGGACTTTTTTATTACACTGAAAAAGGCTTTGAAATTTAGATAGCTAAGCAATTGTCAGAGATAGCAAGAGTGAATAAAAATTAAATTGTATGTTGAGAAAAAATCTGAAAGTTATCCCACTTAAGTTTATTAAAAGGTTGATTGGCAATAACTTCAGTCTAATTTCTATAAAATAGTAACCTTTACAAGGAACATTGATATTACATATTGTAATAAAGAAGTACATATAAATAAAGTTGTAAATAGTGTTGTAGTTGTAGAAGTAGTCAGTTCTGAAGATTAGCCAGAACATTTTCAACTATGAAATTTCAAAAGCTGCAAATTCAGGGCCTGACCTAACTCCTAATAAAGTCAGTTGGTGTTTTCCCATTAACTTCATTTGGAGCAGAAGCAGGCCCTAGTGTTTCTGTAGTACTATGCTTCTGAAATACTAAGAAGGCTGTATTTACTATGCAGTGGGAAAAGAAAAAAACCTATTTAAAATTATTTCCCTGGAAGTTTTGCAAGCAGTAACTGATGTAAATTAAAATAATAAACAGTAAACAAGTCTGAAAGCAAATATTTTGCTAAATGTTTTTCTTTTGATATGAATACAGTTCCTTTGACTAACTGATAAATACGCAATTGTATTACTACCTGACAAAGGAAAGGTACTTTCTCTTTAAGTGAATTCTTATAGTTGTTCCACGAGAAGTCTTGTGTCAGAAGTACTTCCTTTTATTCTCTCCAGTGTTAAAAGATCAAGGGGATGTTCAATGAAACTAAAAGGCAACATATCAAGTAATGGTTTATGCAAAATTATTACTCAGTGGAACTCACTGGCACAGGATGTGAAGTAGTTTGAAAACTCTTACAAGGATTATATGTATACATGAATTAAAGTAGTACCTGCTGTTTTGGTCATGGTTGTCATTTTGAACCTAGTCAGCATATCAAACATCATACATTACAGTATAAATTCAAAGCAGCAAGCAGGTTCCTTCCAATTCAGTACACTGTTGTCTGTCGAAGTATGAAAAGCTTTTTGCTTTCATTGTAATACAGGATTTAGGCTGTTACCAAAGCTAGGACACAGGGCTGGTTTGTTACTGTTCTATTTCAGAATAGCAGTGAATAACACGTTATCTTATGTCTGCATTCATCTGTAATGCTTATGTGCATCATGCACAGTTAGTTGTTTTAATTTTCCTGACTAAAGTGGCAGAAAAAAAGGGTAAGGATACGTGCCCTCAAGGAAAGGCTCTCCGCTTCTGTTGTTTTCCTCCCTCTCTGTTGCCTCCTCACTGGTGCTTTGACAGCCTCTCTGTCAAACCTTCTTCAGGATGTATTTCATTTCCTGAGTCTTATATTTCTCCTGCTCCAAGCCTCTTTAGGAAGTATTTCGTCATCCTTCCTCCACTAGAGACATAAGGAATCCACTTCCCCCAGCAGTAGCTTCTTGCAGCAGCTTCCCAGGGTTTGCCAGTGTCTGGGTTCCCTTCCTGAAGACAGGGAGAGACTGCGGGTTCCTCCCAGCTGCTTCAGTAGTTTTCGGAGTGGTCATTCCACGATGCCTAGGTAGCAAGACTTGGTATCTCTGTCGTTTGGCTTTGGCCATGAAATAGATACCATCTAGGTTATGCTGAGAAAAATGAGGATGCGGAGAGGACAGCAGGAAACCATTTCCCCTCTCCTATCGCTATCATAAATAAACCACAATTGTTTTGTTGCCCAGGAGCATTTGATGTTGAAAAGCATATTCAGTGCTAATTACCCTCTAAGTGAACAAAATGTACAGTTAGCAAATTAAGGCAACGTCTTTGGTACAGCTGCAAAGTATTTTTACCAAATGGCATTCAGTCATTCTCTAGGCCTTGAGGGCAGAGGAGTCCACTTTCTCTCTCTCCTTTTAAGTGCATTGAGTTTATTCACTTGCTTTGTCTTTGCTCCTCCTTTCATGCATGAGAATATTTTAGTTTTATTAATAGGAGTCCAGTACTGCAGCAAGCTGTTACTACTCATAGGTTAAAAAATACAAGGGAAGTCTAATATTTTTGATGAGGTGAATTAGAGTACATATTTTGACTGACATCTATTTTTTAACAAATGTCAAATAAAAACTGGGTTGCTGGGCTCTCAATTATTGAAAATGGAAATGGAGTAGACTAACTTGCATAAAGCTATAGCATAGGTAATACAAAGCTTATGCACACAGAACTCAAAGAACTTCCTCTATTTATTAGATTTATCGAAGAATTAAGTTAAGCTGAAGTAAAAAGGGAGATCAGAAATTCAATGAGAAATGGTGGGTGTTTTTCCTTTTTTTTCTGCTTTGTTTTAGCATAGCACAGCTAATCTGCAACCTGGGTTACACACCCACAGACAACCAAGAGTTGACTGTACAGTTCTGCATACGACATAGACAATTTCCAGTTTATATTCATCGAGAACTGTATAAGTGCACACTGCAGATTTGGTTGACTTTTCAGAGAAAGAGAAGGTTGTATATGTGATACTGTTATTCAAAACTAAAATTCAATGTACCTTGTTAATGAAGTGACTTGGAGTGTGAAGAAATCAGTGATCTAAATCAGTAATGGTCATAAGTGTTCTCTGGTCCTGTCCATTAACAGGACAACATGACATTTTGGAATGCCTATGCCAGCAACAAATCAGATAGTTTGGTGTTGCACACAATGACTTTCCTTGAGTGGCCTGAAAATAGCTCATGCTTTATATTTAGAAAAGAATATGATGAAGCTGTCCATTTAAATGGGTAAAGTCTTTAACTAGCCAGCAAGGCAAAAGAAGTGTGAATTTTAAAGATTGCTCATTATAAATAGCAAAGAGTTCTTGTTGCATTTTTTGTTTAGCTAAACTGTGTAATTATATAAATATATGATGATAAGTGAGCGCCACAGTAAATAAGTTAGACTTTTTCATTGTCTGAAGAGGAGATAAGTAACGACAA